TTTAAGAACCGACAACACGGTGGTCTGGAAAACGCGAGGACCGAGAGTGGGGCTGGGGCGAGCACCGCGTACTAAGCGCGGGAAATATGTAGTTAAGATTAAGAACGCGATCATTTAGACTAGTCATTGTCTGGAAAACAGTAAAACGCTTTTCACCTTTCCCTACAAGAATGACTCAAAACTCATTTAAGACTTTACAGGAAGCTTTGTTCCTTAGTCTGGAAGAAAAGCTAATAGATGACGAAGAATTTGCCGTGCTGTATGAAGAATTCACTCCACAAAACCTTCCGTTTCGCCACTGGGATTACGAAAAATTTTGCCTCGAAAACAAAGACCCCGCAGAGTGTAAGGCAGACTTCAGATTTCAAAAGAGTGACATCTCATTGCTGGTGGATGTTTTACAGATGCCTGATACCTTCACATGTCCGAATGGTACCGTTTGTGATTCAACAGAAGGACTGTGTGTTATACTAAAGCGCTTTAGCTATCCATGTAGGTTGTCTGATATGATTTCTACTTTTGGTCGATCAGTGCCCGAGCTCAGCATGATTAGCAATGAAGTCACTGAATGGATGTATAATGTTCATGGCCATAGGATTACTGAATGGAATCATTTCATTATGTCTCCTAACCTACTGCAAACTTATTCTGAAGCAATTCATGTCAAAGGTGCCGCCTTGGAAAACTGTTTCGGCTTTGTTGATGGAACGGTTCGTCCCATATCAAAACCAGGAGTCAATAAGAGAGCTGTTTACAATGGCCACAAGCGCGTTCACGCCCTTAAATTTCAATCCTTGGCCCTACCAAATGATTGATTGGCCATCTGTTTGGACCAGTAGGTAAGGGTATATTCATTCATTTTTTATAGTGGGATAGTACCGTAGCTGTTTTTACTTGGAGAGACATTTTTATCACTTATGTGAACTTAAAAGTTAGATTGATTTCTTTTCTCATAATGTTAATCTGATGTTTCTTGATGACTCCCTCCTGGTCTCTCAAATCAGAGGTATTTTCAGTAGCCCCCACTTTCAATTGTTATTAGAGGAAATGGTTGTCCCGTCACCACAGACAAATAGTTCATAAATTCTGACTTATAGGCCATAAGTACCTGGACTGTAAGAATAATAGCCAGCCAATCCTATGTTGTTTTTGGCCTACTATTACTAAGCTAATCAATGGTCTATATAGGTAACAGTTTGTCAGCCAGCCAATGTGTGACTGATTGTGGTTCAAAAATTAATTTTTTGGCTCTTGTTCAGAGGGACGAATGCATGATGCGAGAATGCTGGACACATCTGGCCTCTATGTTGACCTGGCACAGTTCGCCTTTTCCCCTGCTGGACAGGAGATGTGTATCTACGGGGATCCGGCATATCCTCTACGTACTCATTTGCAGTGCCCCTTCAGAAATGGGGTGTTAACAAGACAAATGGAAGAGTTTAATGCATCTATGAGTTCTGTACGTACAAGTGTGGAATGGTTGTTTGGAGACCTTATAAATTATTTCAAGTTTCTCGATTACAAAAAGAATCTCAAAATTGGCCTTAGCCATGTAGGAAAAATGTACATTGTTTGTGCACTTTTGCGGAATGCTTTAACATGTCTTTACCGCAATACGACTGCTGACTACTTTGGCCTTGACCCACCATCACTAGTCGAGTACTTTAGCTAAAATACTTTAAAAGAAAAACACCTGTCGATGCCTAAGTTTACATAAAATCTTGCATAAAATCCTGATTGAACAGTTGTTGTGTGTTATTTGCAGGGAATGTATCAACAAGCAGATCTAAACAAAGGGGTGGCAAATGATACTCTGAGTTCAACATTTTGTAAAAATGTAAATCTTAAATATATAAACATCTAGAAATAGAAATTTAACATCTACTTGTTAAGCATTTTACTCATGACGCCCATGACCTGCTGCATCATGAGCATTTGTTGCTGCTGGAACTGTTGCTGTTGTTGCTGAAACTGCTGCTGTTGCTGTTGATTTTGCAGTTGTTGCTGGTGCATTAGCTTCAGCATATCAGCCTGTTGGTGTTGGACTTTAAGTTGTTGTTCCTGTCTTCCCTTTTCCAGCTCAAGTTCCTTTTCTCTAATTTCTGCACTCTGCTGTGCTCTTTCCTTTAGAAACTCCTTGGCATCTCCAGTTTTTCTTCTTGTTCGTTTTGGTTTGTCCTCACCCTCTTCGGCTTCCTCTGACACCCTTTTTTTGGTTTGGGAAAGCCTTTCCATAGCTTTCATTCTTACATCTTCTGCTTTAGCTTTGTCAGCTTTATCCTTACTACAGGTATCTGTGGGAGCACTCTCTTCAAGTGCAATAATTTGCTGTATTAGCTCATCTAATTCACTTGGCTCATCTGGGGATATTCCTGATGCTCTTTCTTCAGCTCTAATTTTTTTCTTGTACTTGTTTACCAAGACATTGATGTGGTCCCGGATGGCTCTGTGGTCAACATTAAATTGCGGAGAAGCACATTTGTTTAGAACATCT